AGATTTGCTGTTGATTTCTACCGGTGAGGCGCATCGATACATACTATTAATGCACAGCAATAAACTCTGGGAGATACCGTGCCAGAGTTTATTGCTTCTGGGCACCATGTTTACACATGCACTTGGGACTGCAGCATGTTGAGCTGGCTCAGAGCAGCCCTGGCTGGCTAGAGGCCGAGAGGGTCAGCTTGGCAGTAAATGTCTCATGTAGACATACCCATGGAGAAAGAGGCCCCTTTAAAGGTTTGTCATCTTCTAAAGCTTCAGATATTAGAAGCAGGACACCAGACTTGATGATCAAATGGTGTGTGATAGTAAACCTAGAGTAAAATCCACAACAGCCCCACTAGGGAGGTAGGTGTGTGTGTTGTGGGGGTGGGTTTTGGATCCGGCAAGAGGAGAAGAGGTGCAGTTCTGATCTAACTCTGCTATAGCAGAAAGCAGAGTTTTTCCTTACTTTATAACATGGAATAATGAATTTATTTTCTTAATTTCCCAATGAATAAATAAAAGTGATGTTCTCAGTCATCACTTTGCCCCAGAAACTGGGTTTTGAGGAATTTGCTCTGGATCAAAAGGCAAAGATGTTTACATTTAAATGTTGCTTGATAGACATAGGAGAGGAGAGGGGAGAGGGACCTAAAACAAAACAAAGCAACAACAACAACAACAACAAAGGGTGTAGCATTGATATGCTTTGGAATAGGACATTTCCTGAGTGAATAATAACTGGTGGAGGTTAATGGCCCGAGGCAAAGCTTCTAGCAATCCAGTCTCTCAGTCAGTCATTTGTTCTCAGGTAAAGTATTATGCTTTGATCATTACTTCTGTATTCAAACTCTGCTTATTCCCTTGATCTCTTTAATACAACTATCTCTTCTTCTTGGTTATTTGCTTTCTATTTTAGCCTTCTGTTAGGAGTGGAAGGATGATCTTGTGATTTTGATACTGTATCTGGTGTTGTTCAGAGCTCCAGTGCTCACTTTTGCTGTGATCTGGGAAAATTCACCTAATATTCTTAATATTTTTAGGTTTATTATGATTGTGTTTACATCTTAGTTTATATTGCATTCATGTCAAAGGTCTTAGTTGAGCTGAGGGTCCTATTTTGCTATGCACTGTAAAACACCATAGCTAGAAAGAATACCATCCCTGGAGAGCTAAGAAACGATGCCCCGGCAAAGTAATGTATGGTTTTAATGTAGAAAACCATGTTTATTCCAGATAGTGCTTATATGTGTGCTTAAATGTAAGCATATCCTAAAGTCATGTTGAAGGTTAAGATGGTAGGAGTTAAAACTATCCTTTACCCTAGTTCTGAATATAACCACTGACCTGAAGAGGCAGAAAAGTAGGACCAAAACAGAGCAGACAGCTACTGTGCCAAGGAAGAGCTGTTGCCCTCCTTTGTAGATGAGAAGTTCAGCCAGAGAGGGTTTAAGTGACTTGTTGAAGGACCACACAGGAAATCTCTAGCAGATAGAGCAACTGAACCTAGATCACTTGAATTACAGTACCACTAAACCTTCATTCTCAGCGTCTCAAATTCCTTTACTGGAAAATGGGGACAATGCTATTTCCAACCCTCATAAATAGGTGTTGTCTATATTGGCAATCTCAAACCTTGTGCATGTTGGGTTATAGTCTTCTCAGTTATTGGAGTTTATATCAGGAGTTTAAGATCAAAGGAGGCGGTGGATGATTAGAATCAGGCCCAGAACACATAATCTATTGTAAAGATAGTAGGTGCCTTCCCCACTGCCAGGTAGGACAGCTGTATCAGGTACACTGATTATTAAGTCATTGTTTGCATTTTTGTGTCAATTTCTATCCAAGCATTAGGTAATTTAGTGTCTCAGCATCCCTGAGAGCTACATAATGTCATTATTGTTATCAAATCGCTGGTACAATTCAATGCAGTAGGACTCTGACCATGCTTGGTATGAACTATAGCCAATGTTTAAACTTTGATGCCTAACTTTTAAGTACCAAACTATCTAAGGACCTAAGGACTTTGTAGTCAGAACTGATGATACTAAAATTACTCAAGTTTGAAAATGCTGGCCGGAGTATTTCCAGACAGCCTCAGGCTTGGAATAGGGCTGAAGGCCTACATCTTTGATGAAATGTCTGTGTCATTTCCTCTGACAAATTGACTCTGGATTGCTTAGTATAGATTGCAGATACATCTTCCCAATGCCATTTTATATATGAGAATACATTTTATATGAGAGACGCAGTAGTTTAGGTGACTTTTTCAGGTCTGTGGCAGAACTGTGAATAGATTGTTACTCCTAATCCTGCACTTGGACCACTAACCAAGTGTCCTAACTAGTCAAGGAAAACTAGGTCAGCTAGTCACAGGCAATCCAGAACTACTAAAGTTGGAAAAAGCCCTTTCATTTATGTGAATGGGCTGTGAATCAGGCCCTTTGACCCCAGCTGAACCTCACTTTAAGCACTGGGTCAGATTCCTCTCTATATAGCACAGCATTTGAATAAGGCCCGCTGCCCTCAGTAAAGCTAAACAAGTGCTTATGGTCAAGTATGGACATATTAATCACTTTTGCAAATGAAGCACTGGTCTTTAAACTAAGATTGATGGGGATCTGCAAAAAAAAATTATTTTTGCAGGTATTTACCACTGCAAATCAATTTTCAGAACAGAGACTATGTCAACTAGCTCTAGGGTTATATTGAAGGTCACTTAATTAGGAAAACATGTATATTGTTCAGTGCTATTTGGATGGCAGTCAATTAATTGGTTTTCAGTTTCATCATCCTATTACCTCTTTTAAAATTGCTAAAAAAAAAAAAATGTTAGATAGCTCCTAAATTTGTGCAAGCTAAACTTTTAAAAAGAAATGATACATATAATAGTAACTAAAAGATAAATGAAGATTCACTGGCATGTGTTTGTCTCCACTTTACTCTCTCACATTTTTCTTGTTCACTGGCTCTGCAATGAACACTAGGATTTTTTTAACCCCAATTATTTTAAAATATTATTTCATTACGTGCTGAAGTCTTTTTTTGTCTATTATACCAAGAAAATTAGACACCTCATGCAATCTAGGCTTTTCCTATTGTAAAATATGCACAGGTGGCATCAGACCTCTGACCTGCTTTTTTTTCTAATTGGTAGATATGTCGGTCAGCAAGAGTATACAAGCAAGTGGTTTTGAAACCATGATTAGAGTGATGAATACACAATAGGCCTAATCCAGCACTGAATTCCATGTTTAGAGTGCTTAACACTATTGCTTTTGGCACGCTGTCTCTGAACTACAAAAACCATGGGAGGGTCCAGGATTGTGGCGATGGGGTTGTCCATACCACCTTCAGCAGTGCGGTGCATGCTCAAGGAGAAGAGCTTATCGTGTATGCACCACACCATTGAAGGAACTGTGGCCTCAGCCTCTCACAGTGATTCTAGATGCCATTGAGCTCTCAGAGATAACCAGTATGTTAGTGGAGCTCCAAATGTGCTGGGAGCACCATGAACTCCGTGGCTGGTCTCCCTAGAGTCCCTGCTTTCAAGCAGCTCCAGAGCCTGCTGCTTTTCTCTCATCCTTCCCCACTTCCACCCCCACGTTCAGCAGCAGGGGAGAGGAGGAGAGGTGTAGATGAAATCCAAGCTTATTTCCTGCTTTCATCCAGCTCCAGAGTCAGAGTCCAGGGGCTGTATGCTACTGCTTGTCTCCTCTCCTGCTTTCCCCTGTTGCTGAATTTGGTGGGAAGGGTGGGAGGAAGGGGAAAAGCAAATGGCAGAAGGCTGCAGAACTGCTTCTCAGAGCAGCCCCATGCTGATCAGACAGTGAGCTCATGCAGCTCATGTCACATGTGGAGCTTGTAGCAGCAGCTGTGCTGATGTGCTGGAGAGCTCTGAGAGATCATTGTACATGCAGTGCACAGCTGAAGGGAGGTGTGACAGAGCTGCTGCACCCCCTCTGGATCCATCCCAGAAACAACAAAGTGAAGAGCTGGCTCTAGGTATTACATACTTGTGCACATTTTACTATACATATCTGTACCCTTCCTTGATTGTTTGGTTAGGAACAGATTTTATGTGTTTTATCCTGTGCTGTCCTATGAATATAAATGTTCTTGAATGTAATATGAGCATTGTTGAAAATAAATTAGAACAATATCTTGAAAATGGCATCTCCTTTTCACAGTTGTATACTCAGTTGATTACTCAGTCTCCAATTATTCATCTTGTTTTGTTACTGATTATTCATTTTTAAGGTACATCAACAATATGCAACAGGCCTCATCACATGATTCGCTTACCAGAATTATTGTATATTAGTTAAGGATAATTATTGTACAGTCTGAAAAACAACCATCAAACAAGTACGTTTCTGTTTTTTTGATTGAAAGGATACAAGACAGGTGATTTAAGGGTAGGAGAAAAAGGTCATTGTCTTGAGAAGTTAAATTAAAGTACATGGGGTCAAACAGTTCTGTTGGCTAACAAATATAATTTTCACTAAAATCGGTTACACAATAAGCTAAATCCTGCTTTCATTTAACAGGTTACTTATGGATTAATTCAAGGTGAAGTGTACAGTCATGTACAAGTTATGTTTTGTGACTAGAGTTGGTAAGAAAATTTTTGCCAAAACAGATTTTGTCAAAAAAATGATTCAGGAAAACTGAAACTTCACAGAAACCAGTGTACCATTTTGACAGGAAAAGTTTCTCAGATCCAGGATTGAACTGTTGGTCCAAACAAGAAAGCAAGTGGACTTCAGAATAGCAGGTTGCCTGATCCATCTTCTAATGGGTGCTTTGATGATAAAGATTTGAAAGATTGTGAAGTGCTCAAATGCTATGATAGTGGGGTCATAAATATAGAAGACAGACAAAGTTAAGTAATAGTGTAAATAAGGTATATTTGGCTATATTGGGCTTTATTTTTATTTTTTTGTAAATCAATAAGTGTAACTTTCTGTATCTTTATAATGTTGGTTTTTTTTGTTTGTTTTCTACAACAGGTATATAAGCTAACTTTACCACCAAAATGAAAGTGAAAAAGGACAAAACTGTACACAAGGAGAACCAGGAATTATACCACTGCTCAATGGAAGAGGCTATGAGACAAGAGACACATTTAATTTCAAAGGCCTTGGCTTCCAAGTTATTGCTAAGGATATGAGTTGTTGAAAATTTGTAAAAAGGAATATAAAGGAATGAAATTGTTGGCTTCTTAGCAATACAATTTTGGCAAGACAAAGGACAGGAACAGAACATTTTGACAATGATGAAGAGTCTAACACTTTTTAAAGCCTTTTCTGCCCTCTAAAAATGCTGTTTATAGAAACTTAGTTCCAATCAGTCAATACCTGTATTGATTTGTTCCATGTTTGAGCCCCATTTTGGAGGGACTTTCCAAAGAGAAATCTGTAGCAATGCAGTACCTGAGACTGATTTCATCATTACCACTTCCAGGAAGGTTGCTGAAGAACCATTACCTTCAAGGGAGATACTAATATTTGATTAAATAAAAGAGGGACTGCCAGGAACACAAATAAAAGAGCCTTTTACCTCTAAGGCTGCAACAGGGGCCCTGTGGAGTTTCTAACAAGACCAGGACCTATGTCACCTATTCAAATCCTGCCCAGATAAGTAGTTACTGAGTGTCAGAACTAGAGTTGTACAACATCCAGAAGGCCCAATTCTTTTGTTTCTTAAGCCTGGATTTAGAGGTACCTTCACACAGTAGCCTTGGTGGCTAACTACAAACAGTTAAAAAGCCTGAGGCCAAATCAGTTCAGTCTTTCCAGCTAGTCTAAGCTGCAGGGCTAGGGACAGACAGTACATATAAACCAGTTTAAGTGGTCAGAAACTGGTTTAAACCTGTAACAGAACAGACATTCAGTGCACATAAACCAGTTTGAAAATGGCTGAAATTGGTTTGAGATAAACCTGGTTGAATGTAGTATCAGATTTAACTGATTTGGGTCAAGAAAGGGAGAAAAGTAGATCCGGCAAACTACAGGCCCATCAGCCTGACCTCTATCCTGGGGAAGGTCTTGGAAAAGATTATCAAAGAGGCTATTCTTAACAGACTAGCTGAAGGCAATATTCTGAGGGATACCCAGCATGGGTTTGTTGTGGGTAGGTCTCGCTTGACCAATCTCATTTCCTTTTACGACTAGGTGATCTATCACCTGGACAAGGGGGAAGAGGTTGATGTTGTATATCTTGACTTTAAAAAAGCCTTCGATGTGGTATCCCAGAATAACCTCTTGGCTAAACTGGCTAACTGTGGCCTCAACCTCACCACGATCCGCTGGCTGGGGAATTGGCTCCGCGGTAGGACACAGAGGGTGGTGGTTGATGGGAGCCAATTGTCTTGGTGCGCAGTCACCAGTGGGGTCCCTCAAGGCTCTGTCCTAGGGCCTATACTGTTTAACATCTTCATCAGTGATGTGGACATTGGTGTCACAAGCAGACTGGCTAAGTTTGCCAATGACACCAAACTGGGATAAAGCATCCACACCTGAGGACAGGAGGGTGATCCAGGCAGATCTTGACAGGCTCATGAAATGGGCAGATGAGAACCTGATGGTGTTCAACACCAAAAAATGCAACGTTCTCCACCTTGGGAGGAAAAACCTGCAGCATCCTTATAGGCTCGGCAGTGCTGTGCTGGCTACCACCGCAGATGAAAGGGACTTGGGGGTCTTGATTGACCACAAGATGAACATGAGCCTTCAATGTGATGCTGCAGCTAGTAAAGTGATCAAAACACTGGCTAGTATCTATAGATGCTTCTCAAGCAAATCCCGGGATGTCATTCTCCCATTGTACTCGGCCTTGGTGAGGCCACAGCTGGAGTACTGTATCCAGTTTTGGGCTCCACAATTCAACAAGGATGTGGAGAAGCTTGAGAGGGTGCAGAGGAGAGCCATGCACATGATCAGAGGTCAGGAAAACAGACCTTATGATGAGAGGCTGAGAGCCATGGGAACTCTTCAGCCTAGAAAAGCGCTGGCTCAGGGGTGATCTGGTGGCCACCTATAAGTTTATCAGGGGTGCTCATCAGGATCTGGGGGAACATCTGTTCACCAGAGCGCCCCAAGGGATGACAAGATCGAATGGTCACAAACTCCGCCGCGACCGATTCAGACTGGACATAAGAAAAAACATCTTCATTGTCCGAGCCCACAAAGTTTGGAATAGACTGCCACTGGAGGCAGTTCAAGCACCCACTTTGAACACCTTCAAGACACTTTTGGATGCTTATCTTGCTGGGATCCTATGATCCCTGCTGACTTCCTGCCCCTGGGGCAGGGGGCTGGACTTAATGATCCTCTGGGGTCCCTTCTAGCCCAAATGTCTATGAAATCTATGAAAGCAGCTTATACAATGCCTGTGCCAGAGCCCCTCCTGCCTCAAGTTAAACCAGAGTCCCCCAGCATTCCAAATGCTTTGCAGACCTGGGTGGGGCTCTCAGCTCCATAGCAAAGTTGGTTCTACCCCTCTGGTTCCTGGCTGGAGCTCTGGCAGAGACTACAAATACAGCAGCATCTGCCTGGCTTGCTCCTGCCTTCCACACGTGCACACTTATCTGCTCAATCAGAGATTCTTTCCGCCCCTCTGCCTTACACAGACACCTCTCAGAATTAGCTAACATGTGACATGCTGGCTACAGCCCATGTTGTGGGAGAGAAGACAAAAGCAGACAGGACAGTGTCAGCTTGGGGATTTTTGGAGCTAATCAACAGGTAGCTGGTAATGTCCCTCCATGTCTTCTTTGGAAAAAATGTTTAAGAAGAGCTTGAACTAATGTGACCTTTTGTTTTTTTGATGGGGTGATAAATGCTCACAACTCATTGTGTAACTCCCTGATGTGTAATTAAATGCTCTGTTATCAACTCCCTGCTGGCTCCCTCCCTGTTCAGGATGGGGAGGGAGGAAACCCCTCCCTAATCAGAGTGTCCTGCTATGGCCTGGTCATGCTCCCTCTCAGCTCAGCACTATGGAAGGGAAGGTTTAGCACGCCCCTGCCTGCCCCAAGAGATCCTTTTGCATCTCCTCTAGCCTGAGCCACTGCAGGCATGTGCCTGCATTTCTTCAGTCCAGAGGGGAGGTTTGTACAGCTATAAACTGGTTCAACCTAGCCCGGTTAGACTAACTAGAGATTAAACTGAGAAACAACTGGACAGACATTCACTTTTGATTCAGGAAGTGCAGCCACATACCTGCAGTGGCCACTGCTGCTGTGGAGGGAACCCAGGGAGTGCTAGAGCACAGCTCTCTGGCATATAGCCAGCATGGACTGTGTGTATAATTCCTCTGCCTGCTGCCTCTGAGTTCTCCGGGATTTGCATTCCAGAATCACAGCAGCAGGATTCTGCAGGGTTTCCCATCACTTGCTCTTGCTGATTCCAGGTGCCTCTGGGATTTGTAGTCCATAGTCACAGCTAGCAGTAAGTTATTAGCAGGGCAGGGCAGGGCAGCTCTGTACTCAGGGGAAGGGAAGTTTAACTCCCCTCTCTCACCCCAGACCTCAGCCAGGGTTTGCCTGTGGGGAGCAGTCCCTGCCTCCCCACCCCTCAACCCTTCCCTGCTGGAGCAGACAACACAGCACAGCCCAGCCTAGGGCTACTCCAATCCTTTCCTTGCCTAATCTGCTGATCTTCTTTCTACTTCCTGCCCTGTGCTCCTACCAAATCTGCTGCTCTGCTTTCTGCTCTCTGCCTTATCTGCCACTGTAGCATCTTGTAGGAGACTAATCTGTGAATCTAGGATCAAGACGTTCTAGTGAAGTCAACCTTGTCATGAAACATTAAATTATGAACTATTCTGCCTATGTGAATGTGTAGATGGAAGTTAAAAGTTCCATAATTGTATAGGTATATATATATATTTTTTTTTTAAACTCTAGCAGGAAACCAGGTAGGGCAGACTGGGAAACATTGTAAGCAACCGCTTGGAAGTGAAATGGGTGAAGAACAGTTTAGTGATCATGCAGTGTTAGCTAATTCTGAGAGGTGTCTGTGTAAGGCAGGTTTCCTTATTTGAATACATTTCCCTCATAGGTGTTCAAAGAAGGCTATTCTGCAGTGATTCTTTACCAGTGTTGCATGGTGCATTTTGAAACCATTTCTTTCTGCCAATGAAACAGGGTCTGGTATCTGATGCTGTGAGTGAGCTATTGCAATACAGCAATTTCACTGAGTTCCCTGGTTACCTTAAGTGTCTAATTCATGACTTCCTCAAGTGCTTTTGGTTCCTTTGAGTCTTAAAATACAATCTATGGTACTCAAATGTCTAAACTGAAAACTACTGATGAGTGGACTTTAGGTAAAGTAGTTACACAATTTAGATCTGCAGACAGCTCTGGGCAGTTAACATTTCATAATTATGGATCATTAGGATCAAGGATATGGGTTTTACAATTTACAGGAATAGGGATGTACATTTGGCTCTGAATCCCTGCTGGAATTATAAAGCTTACCCCACAAATCAGAGGATTTGAGTTGGGATCCATCTATACTCAAAGGATTTAATATTTGGGTCTGGCGAGCTTTCAGAAAAAATATTTCTCAAATCACCTTGTGACACCAACATTTCTTATGGCAAATTTAATAGTGCTAGTTATGGTAGAAAGTATATAGCAGCTATTGCTTGCTGTCTTGTTAACAGACAGTCAAAGACTGTTTAAAACCAAGACTTTGGTAGAGCATCCTTCTTTCAAGCTAAATGGAAGAAAGAATTATATATTCCTTTACATAATGAGAGAGTTGAAAACAGTAGACATTACTGACCTAGACAATGTGCTACCTGGCAAAACTTGAATAAAATCAAATCCAGGGACATTAAGGGGGTTTTCCCTGGGAAAATGCAAGGGCTAGGGAGTCATTTCCCAAGTTGTGTGCATGTGACAAATATAGAAAAGTGCAGGGAAAGCCAACAGATAGCAGGATAAACAGTTTTAAGTGTGGTCCTGAGAGGAAGCACAGAAGGAGGAAGGGAGATTGAAAGGGACAGTGAGAGAGAGAGATGAAATG